TGATTCCCCTGATCAAACCGCGAAAGTTGATTTTTGTTGGCGGAGAGCAAGGCGAAACCCTTGAACTTGCAGAAATCAGCCGCATAGCGCTAAATGCCAACACTGATTCCGCCAGCGCCGTCAGCGTCTTCACACCCACTGTGGGCATGGTAATTGACGCCAGTGTCGACACTAATGCATGGAGTGTTAAGCTCAGTCGAAGTATGGTGCGCAACCTACGTTGGCAGAATGTCCGTGGCATGGGCGTCGTGGCCATCACGGGCCGTCTTGCAGCTGCCAGCCTGGAACCCGAAATGAAAGAAGAAGCCGACACACCTGCGAAGAAGAAGGCCCGTGTTGATGCTCCCGCTATCCCTGTCTCGAGCGATAACAATAACGACACGCCTGTCCTCGACGTTGTCCCTGCCAACATGGCGACGGCAGTTCGTTCCGTCGCTCAACCTTTCCATGTGGGCGACCTGCGTCTTGCTGATCTCAGAAAGCTCATGAATGCAAATGGTATGCAAGCCGAGTTCCGTGGCGAGGGTATACTGGTTGTCAATGGTACTGTAGCGGTCAGGAAGACGGCCACGGGTCAAATTGAGATTGATGGTGGCGCATATGGAAATTTTGATCCAAGGACCAACGATGCGGCGACATTTTCGCGGGTTAGGAGACAGATTTACGAAGGCTTGGCCGTGGTTGCTGGGGGGTGAGAATGATGAAGGGGGCTATGGGATGGATGAATGGTTTGCAGGGAGTTTTGTTACATGGGGACAATGTGAGAAGGTTTAGCAGACTTATTTTTTTTATTTCTGAAGCTCAGTGCGATGAAACACAAAATCTCTTTACATGTTCTGAAATGTTTGGTGCTATCTTCTCATCTAGTAGAATAAGGATATCCAACTTGGCGAGTTATTTTCTCGAGGGTCTTTGCAAGTAAACAAAGCATATCGGAATACTGTGAGACTTCATTGCTTACGAAGTTACATAATCCTCCCAACGCGTGCGACTGGAGAAGATGGAATGAGAGTGAAATCTGTCGAACATTCTCGATGACGAGCTATGGCCCAAACGCGACATCCCACTTCAACCACCCCGCAATCCCAAACAAAGTCCAGCGTCGAATCGCAACAACAAATACAGCACTGTAACAGCCGACACAGATACTGTCCGCCATGGTGATCAACTACAGCAAGTGGGTAAGTGCCATGTGGTTCTCGTGTCGTTGCGATAGCCTCTAACTCTTCGCAAAGGACGCCCTCGAGCTCTCCGACGACAGCGACATCGAAGTACACCCCAATGTCGACAAGAAGTCATTTATCCGCGCAAAGCAAGCCCAGATTCACCAGGAGCGTGAGCAGCGCCGTCACCAAATAAAAACACTAAAATATGAGCGCATCATCAACGATGGCCTTACAGAGCGCGTCGATCGCCTCCTCACCGCGCTCAAGTCGCACAAGGACAAACAGGCGGAGGGCAGCGGCGCGAGCGATGACCAGCTTGTATTCCAAGCCATGATGGAGAGCATGATGGACATGAAGGCTGGCAAAGACGGTGGCGCAGACAGGCCACCAACGCCCCCAGAGGGTGTGCATGAGCACATAAAAGACAAGCCCACATACCCACAGATGATGGCGAGTCTGGTAGATGCGGTAAAGAAGGATATAGATGAACAAAAGAGCGAGGAGCCAAGATACGACCTGTTTATCAAAGGTTTAGAGAAAGAAAAGGAGCGGATACAGGATCTGCAGAGCCAATTGCTTGCAAAATTGGCAGAGTTAGAGAAGGAGGAGAAGAGGCACATCACCAGCGACGACTTACACGAGGGCTTCAACTATTCCAACGTTAAAAAAGCAGAAGAGGACAAAAAGAAAGCCTCTACTGCAGCATCATCGTCAACAGGCGCTAAGAAGGAAACTACAGTCGAACTTCTCAATGCTCCCAAACGACCAGACACCACAAGATCAGACACAGGCCAGTCTTCTGGTGCAGACGCCGACATAGAAGAAGGAACAGTCGCCGGTGCTACCGGTGACAACGAAGATGACATCACTGCGTCTCCCCTTGCACAACAATTTGCCAAGATCAAGGCAGGAGACTGGTACGCCTGTCTACAGTTCCTCATGCAGCACCCAGAAATTCTATCCGAGAAAGAGACAGACGGCCTCCTAGTCGAAGCCTTCAATGCCGAGCTCGACGGCAAACCCAAGCACGCCCGACAATGCGTACACCAAGGCCTGCTACTGCAGTACTGTCGTCAACTCGGCGGAAGACAAGGTGTAGAGCTCTTCTTCAAGCGCATCCAAACAAAAGACCACCAGGCTGGCAAGATGTTCAACGACGACGTCGACTCGACATACGGCCGCATCAAGACGCGCGCAGCCGAGATCCTCAAGGAGCGCGCTGAGAACCCCCAGGGCGAAGGCGCAGGCGTCGAACAGATCCAACTGCACGCCGTGGATCCAAACACGCAAATCAACATTTCCGTTCCGCCCAAGGAGCCCACTGCAACGGATCCCGAGGAACGAGAGGCGGAAGTCCAGGCGAGACAAATTTTCGAGTCGTTCCCACCGGGCTTGCAGCGCGCACTTGAGAGCGGCAAGCTGGATGAGGTGAACAAGGTCCTTGCTAAGATGAGTGTGGAGGAAGCGGAAGAGGTGGTAGAGAAGCTAGGACAAGGCGGCATGTTGAGTCTGGAAGAGGGCGTGATTGATGCTACGACTGAGGAGGGCCAGCGCGTCATGAATGAGATTGAGAAGAATCGTGCTATGCCTAGTGCGAAGGAGTGATTGGGATAGTAATGTTGTTCTTATCCGGACCAGAAAAAAGGCTGAAAATATGGTATACCATGTCATGACATGTTCAAGGTGAGGCTAATTGTACATTATTCTTTTTTTTTTCCAAATGCTTGACGCAGTTACCACTACTATCTATGAATACCAATGTTTTCTGTTCCAACACAAAGAAAGAAGATCGAATAGTGAAACGAGGAAAAAGGAAAACATCGTGATTGTAATGACATGACAAGAATAACTACACAATCCACGTGTATGATGATACATAAAGCATTGACGATTGGAGAAGAAAAAAACTCGATAATAGAAAAAAAATAAGCTCTTTATCCTCAATTGATACGTGACGTATATTTCCCTCTCTCTTGCGATCAACCCTTTAAATCAGCTCCGCGAAATTATCGTCAATACCCGCCATATCCCTATCGCCCGCAAAAGCCGCAAGTTCATCATCCGGCGCATTCCGACTCATCTTCCTCTTCTTGTGCATATTCTCGTACGCCTGGTGTCCGTACGTAGCACCGTCAGCGCCGGGTCTAGCATGCTGGAGGCTCTTGAGCAGATCAGCAGCGACATGCTGGTTGGGGTCGCCCATTGTGGTTGCAAAATCTGGTTGCGTGGTGTGGTGACCGGGTGCAGGTGTGGTTTCAGGGACGACGGGGTGGGCGGCGGGTTCGGGCATGACGTCGTCGCCTATATTGGGGACGGGGTCGTTGCGGGGTGCTGGTTTTTGCTGGGGGGAGCCGGTGGGGGTGAAGGATTCCATGGGTGGGGGAGTGAGTTCTTCGACTTCGGGACGGCCTTGGCCGGTGGGGAAGGTTGCGGTTGCGGGTGAAGTTGCGGCGACGGGAAGAGGTGCAGTCGAGATCTTGTTCTGCTCTGCTGCGGACAAGCCCTTGAGGATTGCCTCCTCGACTTCGCGCTTGCGGCTTTCGATCGCCTCCTTTCTGGTCTTCAGATCGGTTGCCTGCGCCTCCTCTTGCTCCAGTTTTATCTTGTTCGTCTCAAGCAGCTGCTCCAGGCCAGTGATGAGAGCCTTGCGCGCCTTGATACTCTCTGCGACGGCGCCCTCAGCCAGTGCCAACTTCTTGCATAGGGCAGCGAGACCTGCCGCATGCATGGGCGGGGAGGGAATGGCAGCGTTGGGGTTGGTGAGTTTCTCATAGTCTTGGTTTGCGGTGGTGACAGCGGGCTTGGTTGCAAGATCAGCCTTTTGGAGAGCAGTTGCAAGAGGAGCGACCGAAGTGAGCTCAGGCGGAACGGTTGAACTGGAGAAGAGCGAGCCACCAAGAGCAGGCTTGCGCGTGGACTTTGTGCGATCGATCTCGTCAATAGACCTCTCGATGGCTTGCTGGACGGCCGGGTTGAAGATGGCTCGCTGTCGCCAGACCTCGACCACACGTCGGATTTTGTTCTGTATCTCGTGAGGCGAGCCCTTGTAGGCAACGGTCGTTGCTTCGGCGAGAATGGGCTCGTATGCTTTGAGAAACTCCTCCTTCTTGCGCATCTTGGATGTCTGGGTGATTTCGTTTGCGAGGTAGATTAGGACCAGCTTCTTGTTTGGCGTCGACTCCTTCATACGTTGGAGCCATACAGCAGCAATGCGCTCGGCATGTCGTCTGTAGATAGTCGTATTAGCTTCTAGCTTCCAATCTTGCAAATGCGACGAGTGCGCGCGCATGCACATGAGACGCGTTCAAGAGTGCAGCGAATGTCAAGTATGCGAGGCTTTACCTGTGAAAGAGAATCCATTGGCCAACCGTCGAGATGGCATCTTGGGTCTCGTTGAGCGATGAGAGCTTTGCCTTGAGGCTGTCCTCGGTAAAGGCCATGCTTAATGTCTTCACGAATAATTGTTGCAGCTACTGAAGAAAGAATCGCACGCGACCAGACCAACACGACACTCTCAAAGCAGTGGAGACAGACTCTGTAGGAGCTGGCGATACTTCTAGTTGATCAACTTGAGGCTTGCTAGAGCCTGCGACTACAGTGATGACGAACGGATGATGGCAGAAGACAATAGATGAGGCCTGTCGAAGGTGAGGGAGAGCTCGGGGACGCTAACAGCGATGCGGGCTAAACGTAGCTAGGCACTCGCCAAGCCTGCTCCTGGCTGGTGACGGTAGCAATGGGTCAACCACCAACAAGACACTTGGAAGCAAGCAATCGCCGCCAATCCCATCGCTACCGCTTCTCCCTACACCCACCACACACATCACATTCACAATGGCCGACCGATTCCCTTCATTAGACGAGATTGACGCTGGTTAGTTCAGCCATTGAACCCCCGAAGCAGCTCCGCAACACAGTACTGAACATCTCCAGGCCAGACCGAAGCGCGCGGTGATTCAGCAGCCTTCGACCTTGTAGGCGACACTGCCGACGCCGATGACTTTCTCTCACGCGAGCGCGCTCTCCTTGGCGACGACGCCGACCAGTTTGCTTCAGAAAACGACCGGACAGCCACCGTCGAGGATGGAGAGGACGACCTCTTGGGCGGAGGCTTCAGCCAGGCCCAGGCTGGTGGTGAGGAAATGAGTGGTTTCGAGAGCTCCTTCCCTGCCATTGACACTACCAACGAGGTATGTAATGCGCTGCATCCTTGGTTGTAACACGTGTTGCAAGAGGATGTTTGTTGTTAGGCACCGTACTGACTGCAGCAGCACATGGCCCCTGGCGGTACCATTACTGGATCAAGCCTGCCCTTCCTTCCCGGCCAGCCAGCCCCATCATTCACTCCCCAGCGATCAGACTCCCCAGAGCCCGATGTCATTCGAGAGTGGCGCGAGCGCCGCGACCTCCAAATCCAGCATCGCGATGAAGTAGCCGAGGAGCGCAAGCAGAGCACGATCAAGGAGGCCCAGCAAAATATTGACGATTTCTACGAGAACTACAACAACAAGAAGGAGAAGGAGATTGCCAAGACACGGAAAGAGGCAGAAGAGTTTCTTGCAAACCGAGACGACACCACCGCGGGTGGAACCAGCTGGGAACGCATCGCGAAGTTGGTCGACTTGAGTGGAAAGGGTACAAAGGGTGGTGCGTCAGGCAGCGACAAGGCACGGTTCAGGGAGCTGCTCCTCAGCCTGAAGAAGGACGAGAAAGCACCAGGCGCAACCGGATATTAGGGGACGAAAACAGCTGGGTCGTGATATTTTCGGAGCTCAAGGTATGATTTTGGAAAATGCGATCATGTCCGAATATAGCCAGGAGTTCATGGATGGGCTGCCAATTGTTTGCTACGGCTGTGTTAATATCTATTCTCAGAATTCTAACAAGTGCTTTTATGCTCAGCCAATACCAGCAAATGCAAGAGCGAGGTCTGTTCGACACAGTGGCTCTTGACCACACTCACACGAGTATTACCCTCAATTTCTTCTGACTGTGTGATTGATGAGCATATCCAGGACTATCTGGGCACTTACGGCCCTTTGGACATGCTCATGCACATATCAAGCGTCAAAACCATTTACTTCGGAGCAAGAACGCCCAACAAAGTGCACTGACGTCATCCCAAAGTAGAAGCAGCGACCTAAATCCACAGGAGCATAAACACGAAGCCACATTATATCACCTGATACTAGCTCTCAGTAAAGTTAATCACTTCTAGGCCCTTGTGATGCCAAATCCCATTTGGCTTCCCGCCGTTAGAGCCAAGGCCTCGCCTAGTGTACTGCAATCTAAACGTTTACGCTTGCGTCACTCTCCTTTCTCCACGTCCCCGGGCCGCATTCCAACCTAGCTGCAGAAAAAGGCTGATAGTAGTATCGAAGGCAACCTCGCCACTACCGTGACACGTGAAACCTGGACCGGCAACCCGGCTGGGTGCTATATGAAAGCTTTATTAATTTCTCCGATGGTGCAGGATTCCCGCCAACCGCCCACCCCCTAGCCGACATCACGTGTGAACGTTTCAATCCGAGACGACGAGTCCAAATCAAAAAGGCTATTACCACCAATCATGACTGCAAATAAGAGTTTGTCTTGTGACTGTCATTGCAGGATGCTAGAGATGCCCGCTTTGGAGCCTTGTCAACTGTACATTCACGTTCGACTGTATTGGCTCTGTTTGCGAAGGGCTGTTTCATTGGTAAACCCAACAACCTACTGTCAAATGACGTCTGTTCAGGATGCCGGCCTTTTCACAAAAAGAATGATACCTTTCATCTCGCTTAACCTCTCCAGAATGCTTTGACCGGGGATAACGGCTTCTCCAAACACTTTACAAGGACCCAAAATAGGCAAGGTGTGCATGTTACTCGACATCACGATGACCCTTTAGCGCGCCAAGTTTTTAATCTACATGTTTTCTCTCACACCCCCCCCCCCTCCCCCCCCCCCCCTCCCCCCTTCCTTGGTCCCGATGCACCAATGCATGAACCGAGGGGCGTGGGGAGTCTCTCGGAAACATTTGCAATAGTGCTTGTTGTGGTATGTTTGCATAGCAAACTATCGGCTTTTGTATCGTGGAGGAATTAGGTGCCGAGGTTGGTGTGGTGGTACTACTATAAGAGCCTTCACTACCGTGTGTGTATCAATTTATCTCGGCATCGAGGTGGGTTTTGTACCGAGCTAGACTTCTATCCATCTATCTTCTCCAAGTAGCTTATATAGAATCTTCTTGCCTCGACCTTTTTTCCCTCCACTGCACTCCTTGACACCACACTCTACCTCTTCCTCCTTCGATATATTTGGAAACAAAGGAAGAACGACAAAGATGAAATACCTCCTACCCACCCTCGCCCTTGCTGCCACAGCCGCAGCCCACGGCTACGTCTCCAACGCCACCATCGGCGGCAAAGACTACACCTTCTACCAGCCCTACCAAGACCCCTACACCACTGGCGTCAAACGCATCTCGCGCCCCATCCAGGGCAACGGCCCCGTCGAGGACGTCACGCTCACCGACCTGCAATGCGGCGGCTACACCGCCGGCGGCTTCAAGGGCTCCTCCCCCGCAGCCCTCCACGCTGAAGCCGCTGCAGGCTCCGAAGTCAAGCTCTACTGGACACTATGGCCTGAGAGCCACGTTGGCCCCTCTATTACGTATATGGCACGGTGCCCGGATACAGGATGTGATGCCTATATGCCGGAGTCTGCGTACGTTTCCATTTCCTCTATTTCCAACCCCCCTTTCCCATAATGCTTGTTGTTGTTGTTGTTGTTGTTGTTGTTGTTGTTTTTTGGTTGAATCTCAACGAGTCACATCCGTGCTGAACGCAGCGATGACAGTGCCGTCTGGTTCAAGGTCCAAGAAGAAGGACGTCAAGGTACATCGAACAAGTGGGCTTCGGATGCTATTCGCGTGGCGGGCGGATACCTTTCGTATACTATTCCCAAGTGCCTTGCTGCGGGGTACTATCTTGTGAGGCATGAGGTGCTTGCGCTGCACTCGGCGTATAAGTATCCTGGTGCCCAGTTTTACCCAGGATGCCATCAGCTTAAGGTCACGGGGGGTGGTAGCACGAAGCCGTCGTCGGGTTTGGTGAGCTTTCCTGGGGCGTACAAGGGGACGGATGCGGGGATTGCGTATAATGCTTATACTGGTATGTTCTTTTTTCTTTATCGAGTTCATTGAGTGAAGAGAGGGTTGCTAATTCTTGTACAGCGCAAACTTATCCTATTCCTGGGCCGAAGCTGTTTACCTGCTAGATAGTAGGGGGGGGATGAGGGGTTGCGGAGTGTGAGGGAAAGTGTATATAGAGTGAGAGGTGGACTGTAGATATTTTTTGCTTCTGTATATACTTTGGGATTGCTAGAATGGATAGACGTGGTGCCTTTTGACTGCTTACCTACCTTGCTCTATTCATCACAGTCATATCATGTATGCGTTCACGTCTGTCAAGTTAGTATGCAGAGGCATTGCACACCTAGCACTCTCCCCCACTGCTACCGTGTGTGTTTGTCTTTTTTTTCGCCTTTCGCGCAGTATGCGCAGTTGATAATCATACAAGTCTGCCTCTTTATTTCCACCTCTCAAACAGACCCTGATTCCTCGCTCACCCCACCCTTGTTTGGTGGATATTGTACAGATCATCTGACAGCTGCTCCACACGCGAAAGTGGGTTATCCGTAAAGCGGGCTCTCGACGAAGTGGATTGTAGAAGAGATATGTGGTTCGAGAAGTGGATTACTTCCAAGGCGCCTATGTAGTGTGCCTCACAAAGTGGATACAGAAGAAGTGGGGGAAGGAGTACAAAGAGTCACAAGAGGCTTTCCCCTCGATACACACATCCAGCATATACCCAACACGTAGCATACAAGGATAGGCCGCCCTGTATTTTTGAGCGACGACTCCACTTCGTAGTTATACGTGGAGAGGGTTGTGATGGGGATGTGGATGGGGATGGGAATGTAGGAGTGGTGACTGCGTGTTTCCGGTCTGAGTTGATAGGATGGCAATACTTTTCCAGCTATGTTCCAGCAAATCCTGCACGGCTTGCATAATGCGATACTGTCTTCTTTTTAAGAAATTGCGTTTGCAAAAAAAGAGACGTGTCTGTGTGTTCCCTCTCGCCCGACTGGACAATACCATCAACATAAGCATGGTAAGCATCGGTCCTTCTTTTCCTGCCTTTTACGTATTTTCCTTGTTATGCAAGCTCAAGACCCTGGAATGTATAGAAAACGTTGATCATGATCTTCAGTTGGAGGTCCGGTCGTTAAAGTCATTTCGCTTCACTCTCGTCTCATCAATTTCTGTGACTGAAGGGAAAACTTTTTCTGTATGGAGGTCCGTTTGTCGCGATATCTTTTTGCTCCTATATCTTCCCAATGCATCAATCCCTGTATTACTGGCTGTTCTATGACATGAGACCTCTGCTTTACGACTCTAACCCCGCAGGCACTGTAGACGGGGTTGTTGACTTGTGGGTGAGAGCCTGGATAGTAGCACAGAAACTCAAAGGAAGCTGACCCATAGGCTCTTTTATTGATTATTTCGGCCACTTGGGTGCCTTGTGAGTGTGTGATGAGTTGAGTACATTGCATGTTGACATGGTGCTAGCTGTAAGCCACGACGAATAGAAACGGGGGCCTCATTGCCGTAAATTTACCGGACTACGACATACATGGGACTTTCTGTGCTATCTGAAAAGGTATGCGGATCCGACGCCGGTTTCCGGTCACCCTGCGCCTAATTGAGAAATGCTGCATATGCTAGTCAGAGAATCGAGTGGACAAGTGAGGTCGAGTGGTGAAGGGCAAAAGGTGTCGCAGGTCCGCCATTGGGCAGCGCGCTACAGAATGCCACGCTGATCGTCGGCCCTAGCGGACGGGTCCGCACATGGTTTCGGCGGCTTTTTTTGAAACGGCCGAGTGCCTGAGGTATCTTCTGGAAGACGAAGCTCAGATGGGTTCGCTAAAATGAATGGCGAGTCAGGATGGTCGCGGACAGTTGTTGGAGTTTGAAGGGCATTCAATGCTGCGGGTACTCCCCTTTCTCCATCTCGCTGTGACGCCGACATGAGTGAAAGGAAAGATCAGCCATAATGCACTAGGTATTTGGCGTGATGGTATCAAAAAAAGTCGCGGTCAAGATGATGTGAAGGCAAGGACGCTACTGACGAAGCTACTGAGCTCTTAGCATGCGATGATGCCCACAGTGGGGCGACGGAAATTCGCCTCTTTCTTCCCTAACTCGCATCTGCGCGAGCCAGTACCGAACACTGACGGAGATTTACATACCGGATTGGGAATTCGGATGGCTCTTAGGTACCGCGACCCTTGGATTGTCTTTATCCGAGGAACTACTCGGAGCATGTCAATGTCATGGGTGCAGTAGCAAGCTCCCGTGATATCCGTTTCCAGTGTGACAAACGTCTTAGGTGGTGCTGGGTACGTACTCCGGGTCAAGCCAACTTACTCGAACCGGGCGGCCGTGTGGCAGTGTGTAATTTCTCGGATGCATGGCTGGGCAGCCCTCCCACCGCTCTTTCGGCTGCTGGCAGCAGCAACGAGGGGCATCGAAGGCATCACGGCATCGACGACATGGGCGATGCTTGATCAGGTGGACATGTGCATACTGGCTAGGCGGCGCTTCGGAGCATCGCTCACCGTAATACAGGCTTCAGAAGCGACAGTGCTGTGGCGCGCCTTAGGGCAGCACAGTGGCTACGCTTTTTTTTCT